TCCAAATGATCTTCTAATCTTTGCTGTAACTGTTTTAGTCGTTCACCTTTTACGCCAACATTTTTTCCGTTATATACAAGCATAATTGCACAAATTATTGTTTATTTGTATAGAAAGCGATTTGATTTTGAATATAAAGGCAATATAAGATAATCCACTATCAATCACTAGTTTCACCACCCAAATCCCAATAATTTTCTTAGAGGTATTCGCGTTGAACCACTAAGAATGATCGTGATGGGAGCTGCAGGAACAGGTAAATCTCTCCTCATTAAAGTGATCAGGAACAGGCTTCGCGAAATGGTGGGGGGTCTAAGATACCTATACTCGTTCTTGTTCCAACGAGGGCTGCAGCTTTCAATATCAGAGGGTGATAATTCACTCAGCGCTCTCCATACCAATAATAACTGGTAACAAAAATGTTGGCATAAATGGTGAACGACTAAAACAGTTACAGCAAAGATTAGAACATTATTATAACGGGTGTTTGATAAGTCCCTAGACAGGATCTTTTTTGTTAATCACTTAAAAATTTCTAGCTAGGACCCTTTTACTAATAAAAAACGTAATACTTTTGATAATCAAAGTGATCAATAAAAAGGTCCTGTCCAGGGACTTATCAAACACCCGGTAGAAGAATTTTTCTGACACCACGTGACCAGTTCATTCTTGGTTACTTTATTGTGACATTATGTGTACAACATAATCTTTGTAGCTGTAACCATAAACTACTATACGTAGTAATTTGCCGGCCTACTTTTTAAAGTTTTTTTTCTTGATACAGCAAACTAAATATGTATTTGTTTCATATTTAATTGTAACAAATCATATCATAGATCAAAAATATTACTTTTGAATGGCCGGCAAATCAATATAGTAGTTTAAACCCTGGCTGTAACTCTTGGAAAATCTTTTTTCTAAAATAACCAAATTCGGAATATGCAATATGCCGCAGTACACAAGTGAGTACTTTCACGAAGCTAATCTTTTTTCACGAAAAAGTATGTTAAGCAAATCTAGTTTTTATTGACTATTGAAATTTTATATTTTCTAAATAAAGGTAATACTAATTTTTTTTTCCAACTTTCTTTATAACGAACCGGATATTTTTGAAATAAGTTTTTCTGAGTTTACAGCTTGTTATAAAGGCGTTCATACATATGTGCAAATATGGTATCGACTCATATGCACATATATGTAAGGCGTTTTATTTACAGTATACTAACATCTGGATTATATGAATTATTTATCGTATTTGTCGATCAATGTAATATGATTGGTTATGTATCACATGATGTGTCCGGACAAACTGATAATTTTGTTACATTGCACAGAAATACAGCGTCCGGAGCGAAGCGACGGACAATTAACAACAATTTCAACGTAGCCACTTGACATATCCCTAAATTTGAAAAAAATATTTAATTGAAGCAATGATTATTAGAAAGTTATATTAAATATGAATTTTGGCATACCTTCATGAGTACCTCTCGCGTTCCACCGGCTTGACCACCACCACCACGATCCCTTTCAAGTACGAAAAGAGCATCTTTCACTGTTACTGCTGGAGTGACATCACCTGCATCCCGTGAAACCCTCCCGCTAGCATCATGTGCTGCAGCATATATATGGTCGCCGCGTGTGCCTAGAGCATCTCTTTTATTTACTAAGGGTCGACCATTTGAAGTTGAACGTGAGCGACCACGTGACGGCCTAATTCCAGATGAAGTGCCGTTGCTGTTTGTTGATATAGCTGAAGACTGAGAAGTTTTATCAATAGCACCTTGTAACATCCAACTTTTCGTTAGACCACCGGCAGCTACCAAAGCTGTTTGATTAGTGCTTGTGGCAATAGCCTCATTAGTAAGCTTCAATGACGAAGCAGATGAGGATTCTTTTTTTTGACGTTTAACACGTTTTGGTTGATGAGTCGGAGCATCAGTTGAATCTTTTACATCATCTGTTTGGTCATCACCTATATTATCTTGCGATGAACCAGCAAGGCTTTCCTGCCTTTTACGCTCTTGTTCCCTTTCTACTTTTTCCATGGCAGCTAATTGTGATCTAACATCTAGACTGACAACTTCTTTATACATGGGCAAACTGTTTTCGGAGTCAAGGGGAAGATTTATATGTTCCGAATGTATTCTGTGGTTTTTCGCTACTATCATTGTTTCGATTAATTCTCGGATTCTTTCTTGTGTGGCGAGTGCCAAGTAAGCTAATGCGTCAGGCGGTACGTTTACTATTTTGTGCTGTAATGCTTAAATTTTTGTAGTGAAAAGTTGTTAGGACCATATTACAAGAAAATATAATTGTTACAAAAAGACAAGAAAAAAAGAAATTACCTATAGATTGAACTTTTGCGGCAAGACTTCTCTGATTTAAAAAATTTTGGGAGCGTGAACGGTCTGGATATTGAACTAACGTGGAAGATTGACGCGCTGTCAATAACTCGTGTTCTCTACGAATATTGATTTCCTCTGCCTATTATTGTAGTTTAAATGTGTTTTGAAAATGAATAATCTAATTACTGTTTAATTTTAATAACTTTTTTCAAACAAGCTCGTACTTTTATATCTACTCCAGACGAAATAAGAACGTCATTTTCTGTAAAGTTTGTACTTTTTTCTTCGGATTGTGCTGTTGTGCCTGTTGGTAACGTTGACCTTCGACTATAAAGTGAGGTGAGAAATTTTGAGTCCATGTAACATATTGTTAAGCACATGTATTATAAAGAATAAAATAAAATTTTAAATGTACCCTATAGGACCCCCGTTTTGCAAGTCTATAAAAAAAAGTGCAAGTTTGATGTTAGAAAAATAACCATAATAATAAACGAAGTACTAGATTGGCTTTCAAATTTATTCCAAACCGTTGAAGTACGCATAAATTTGAAAGTGTCAGTAAAATGGAGGGTTAAACTCACTAGTGCCACGCGGTAACATTGACAGCGTAGTAGGAACACCGTAAGTTGGACGGTAACCCACAGGAGGAGGAGGAGGGCCCATAGGTTGCCCACGAGGAATTGGCTGCGTTCCTTGATCAGGTCGATTGATTGGAGTAGTTGCTCCTTGCATGTTGGAAGAAGTTGGAAATCAAATAATCCAACGAAACAAGAGATCTTAGTAAAAAGTGGCTGCTTTTAGAGGCTTGCGAAGAAGCGAAGAAAAATTCCCAAGCTTCTCTTGTTTGTACAAATTATAATTTGCCAGGGGAAAAAAATCTGGTGAAAAAAGATAGTCAAATATTGAGGACAGAGTAGTGGACGTGGATGACATTGTTTTGTTTGTGTTAACCGCATATGCGCAAGCCTCTTAATGGACTATAAAAATGACATAGAGCCGGCCAAAAAAAAATTAATTTAGTCAATCACCCTTGGTACAATCATTCAGAACAGTTTTAGAGCATGGAAACACAGATAAATATATTACTAATAAAAAGTTAACGCCGACAAACTTTTGAGAGCTTTGATTGGCTGTTTGCTTTATTACACAATCATAAGCCTGTTTAACATACGTATAAGTTGGCGAATTTAAAAAAAATACCTATATGCGTCGACCAACAGATTTTTCAAAAAAAAATAATAATCCTTTAATATTAAATTTCTATTTTAACCATCATCGATATGTGCTCGGATTCACTTCCGTTGTCTATTTAAAAAAAAAGGAATGTGCACACATCTCTATAATTATACATATTGTATTCTCATTTAGCCGGATTATGCAGGTTACTTCAAAAATTTTCTTGATTTTTGGTATTGGAAATCGAGTTTTTATACGAACTGTATTTTTATACGTATAGTCGTACTGTATCGTGCTTTTTATGTACATTTTGTAAATTAAAATATAAAAGGGTTATTTTGATTGTTAAGCTTCCGAAAGGTTTTAAAACGGGTCTATTAACACCATAGTTGCGACACTTCTTTTAACTTTAATTCTAACTCGAATTAGCCAGGGAAACCTGTGGCGTCATCAGTTTATAACAAAATCGATGTGCACAATATTCTCAGTACACACTTATTTTTATTTTATTTTTTTTTTGTTTTACATATGAATTTTTTAGATTTATACACTGGACGTTAGCGCTAGTACGTACGTACAATATTTAATCGTAATCGATCATTTTTATGATTGTTTTGAATTGAATTGGTTGGTGCCACACATCTGGTCAGATGAGGATTTTCTACAAATTATATATCAAATTAGATGGAATTTGAAATTTGAGATGCGTAAGGTTAAAATAGCAAATTTTCGTCGAACAAAATCTCCAATTTAAATATAAATACGCCAAAGGAAAACCAAACTTTGAGCTTTTAAATTTATAACTTACCCAGTTATTCGGGCTGTTTAAGGGTTGATTCCGATAAGTTTTAAGGCCAAAGTCCGGTTTTCCTTGGCGCACTCATATATGGTTGAAACTGTAATATCCCAATTCCACTAATAATTTAAATGAATTCCTTGTTATATATTTCATTCTAACGCAACGACGTTCGTTGATATTGCAACTATTTCCGTAAGTATACAGTCGACTTTGGATATACCGAACTTGCTTATACCTAACCCGGGCTATAACGAACCAGATCTGGCAGAACCGATTTTTTATAAGAATTTAGGGCCTACACCGAGCTTATATAGTAAATTTTATATACCGCATCCGAACTTTTCTTTACCAGCCTAAGATTATGTACGCATATTTCGATATAACTAT